GTTCGTCTGGACGTAGAGTTTTCAGTGGGAGGAACGTTTCGTCATTCATCCTAGTGACTTCTTCAGTCTCAGCTGACTGCAGGTTTCCCCAATCTTATAAACAGTACATTTGCATAATGACTGAAACCAGCCCACTGGTTCAGTCGGCTGGTTTCAGTCATTATGCAAATGTACTGTTTATAAGATTTACTTACCTGGATGATTGGGAATGCATCAAGACGTTTTTGTGAAGCTGTTATAGACAGTACAGACATTGTGCCTGCTTTCAAGTTTTCAGTAACAAGTTTAAGTAACTGCTCCCCTTTGTTTGGGCCCCCAAAACATTCCAAAATGCTCACCGTGATACTGATCACCACCTCTATTCAGCTTCAAATTTACTTTACCATCCTCGATCAGCTTTCTGCACACAATTCCCTCAACATGAAGTTAAAACAACAATTTATTCTTATGCCACTAACCAAAAATGTGCACTTAACTCATCTAGTCTGGTCAAATTAAAACCTGATCTTAGTCAGCTTGGTTGGACAAGGCTCAAAAACAGATGTAATTTTGTCTGCTGCCACTAGACGGGGCGAGAGCCGGGAGGGGGGGGGGAGCAAACGCCTGCCCATAATAACCACCAGACATGACTCATTCAGCGTGGAATACCACAGCAGCCACAGACAGGTCTCTGGCAGACATGGAACAGAAATCCGACCCCACAGCAGAGTTTGTGAATGGGACCGGAATGAGCAAAACCAGGGTAAATTTAATAGGCCTTCAATAAGTTTCAAAGATTTAGGAGTTTTAAGAAATCACCAAGTGTTTGGATTGGCTTTTTCCTTCTTTTTTTGTTAAAAGTCAAGTGTGTGAACGAGTAAATTCTGCGTGTTTTATTGATAACATGAATGAGGTAGGCTAAGGAGAAAAGCTTTTCTGTTTCTCTTTTGTTCTTTTCTTTAATTCCCCATCGATTCAGTGATTCTCTTGGCTGAAATCCTGCTCATCAAGTCATCACTTAGAGCTCCTAAAAGACAGCACAGGAACAACATATCACCTTGTCAGATATGATTGCAGCTCTGATCATCTTGCCCTGACTCCCCCTGCGGAGAGCACCACTCAATATGAAGACTAACACATGTTGGACAGTCGAATGATTATTTGCTTATGTGGAGTTCGTCCAAGGCTGGAGGGCCTGCAGAGCCAAGAGTCTAATCTGTGGGCATAAGGAAAAACATAGAAATAACATATTGGACAACTTAAAGTATGGCAGGGGAGCAAACTGTGAGCGGTCACATTACATGAACACAGCAGGCAGGAAGTGTTTTGCAACAGCGGAAAATCTTCAGGTCCAGTCTGACCACCAGACAGTCACACTTCATCTGGCCTGGAGGCTGCGGTCAGCGGATGGATATCTTCCCTACCGTCAGGGCAGGATACGCTGTCATGCATTTGTCTGTTGCTCCCGCTCACACTCTTTTCCATTTCTCTGACAAATGTAACACTTCTCTACTTTTCAGCCTCATCCCCCCTTTTTTCTTTTATATTCTGCTCAGCTTTCTCGGCCTCTCTAAGCTCCATCTTCTGTATATCCTTTATTTCTTTCTCTTATGCCTTTGTCTTTATCCCCCCTTCCTCTGCTACCTTCCCTTCAAATTTTCTCATTCCTCCCTTTCTTGTCCTCTTTCTCTCTCTGTTTGTGGTCAGTCACACTTAATCTAGCTCCATCCATCTGTTTCTCTTCATTCATTTAGTCCCCTCTGTTTTCGATTAAGATTACATCAGGCTTTGACCTATTAGTGTGCCGTGATCCTTTTGAAGTCATTCTGTGGTTACAGGTTAAGCTCAAAGCCCACCAATCTTCTTACTCAACATAATACAGACAGTATTTGGAGGGGAGAGGAAAAAAATCAGTGTAGGTTCTAAAAACTTTTCAGCCAGTGACCAAAATGACTTTTTTACGCTGGGATCCAGGATCATTAAATCATACAAGACTTCTTGTCATGTGGAGGCTCAGTAGAGTGGGGTCCAACTCATAATCCAACCAAGCAATCTGTGAACTGGAGTATATTGTTCGTTTAACCTCATATCCTGAAGATTTTCATTATGTTCTCAAGGTAACTTTCCCAACCAGAGACATTCTGTTCCTGATTAAAGCTGCTTTTTAAAGTTGAGCTTTCCCACTAAACGTAGTGCAGATCCCTTGAACAAAATTCTCTTCTTAGGAACCCAAACTGGGAGCATATGGAGTGTCATTAACCTAACACTCCACCAATATATTTGTATTAATAAATGACAACTATTCTCATTTTTCCCTGAAGCCCAACAAAAGCTAGACCTACAGATGCTGAAATCTTGCAGCGTATAAATTGGATATAATCGGACAGCATTCCCTTTGTTGCCCACCCGCCATCATTTTCATGATCAGCTGGCTAGAAAGCAAAATATCAAGCTTCATTTCCAGATGGTGATCAATATCATCTCTGAAACTTTGAACTCCCCCCCACACACTTTATTCTACTCTATGCCCATGAATGAAGATTGACTTATATGTTAAACTGTACATCATCATTACTCCTCGGTCAAAGCTGGAGTAAGTAGCCAATTGGCCGAGCCGTGACGCTAAACTGACATCTATTGGCCAAGCTGTGGCAGGCTAGGATGTTAAAGTCATTTAGACTCATCAGCCTAAGTGGACACAGTTGACTGAGAGGTCTCGTACCTCCCCACGTCTGGTTGTGGGTAGATTCAATGCCAACAATTCTCAATTAGAGCAGTGGATGAGAGGACATCTGGGCTGCTGAGTCAATGTCTACTTGACTAATGTATATTAATGTACGCCAACAGGCCTGGTCTTGTTTCATAAATGAACCGTGCATGCGCATCAGTCAATCGGGATGGTCAGAGTTCCACCAGTCTGTGACAATGTCAGTGTCGTTTACACTGCAGTCAATTAGATCAGTAATTCTGCATTTCTGCAGGATTAACATGCTGCATTGATCTTATTTCAACAAACTGGTTAAATATGTATCCATGGAAGGTGTTGCTCATACAGACAGCTCACACAGATTCATCACTATTCTTATTAGCGCTCCTTCTTCTTCTTTTCTCTAGAAATCTCTGATGAACTCACGGTAGATTACCTGCTCAACACAAAACATAAAGCTGGCAAAACTTACCATAGAGGTAGATTGGTAGATACCAAGATAAAAACTGGAAATAGTCTCTACTCTGTTTTAATATTTTATTAATGAGCCATTTGTTTCTGTACATTGCTTTGAAGTGCACTTGCCAGCAGGAACAGCAGGAACTGAGGTGAAGGCTGAGGTTATACTTCCTTGCTGACGCACATGGACAGCTGCAGATACCGCAGACGAGCTGTTCTTATTATACTGCTTTTTAGTCTGCTTGAAGGAAGTGTGTGCAGTTGGCCCTCACAGTGAAGTGGTCGCAACAAATTGGATAGTACATAGACAATTTATGTCACTTGGAACCAACTGGAGTCAACTCTTGGACCCAATCTCAGTTTTGTTCCCAGTGAAGAAAAAAGGTATAAGGCATAAAAACTGGTTCAGTAAAGCTTCTGGGTTAGAAGCCTGACTCTTCTAACCCAGAAGGACATAAGCATAGTTGTTTAAACATTGCAACATGCAAAAAGCATAGTAAACCCTTATTAGACTTATTTTACCCATTTTACACTGTAATTGCAGTACCATGTGACAGTCTGGCTGGCCCTTTGAAAGCAAAATTTAAAAAAAAAAATTCAATTTCACAGACTGTTAATTTATAAAGTGATCTTGAGCAGTAGTTTTCCAGGCTATCTGAAGGACTTTTGAATTTTTTCTTTGAACACTGGCTGCTCAATTTCAGTCCAGTCCTAATACCTGACCATTTTCAGAAGAATGGTTTTTTTTGTTTATTTTTTGAACCAGTTAACACTGACCTGTGAATAAAGCATAAAAAGCACCTAATTCAAGAGATTAATCAGTGCCGTGTCGCCACATGACAGACAACTTAGCAAAGAACCAATTTTAAATTGGTAAATTGTATTTTTAAGCATTTTGTTGCAACAGCAGATCATTTATTCCCATAGCTTTGATTGAATCCATGAAAAATGTCAAATGCCTTAAAAAGTGGTGTTAGGCATCTTTTCAAAACTGATGGAATTATAAATACAGAAACATTGCTTCCCATTTCCACCCACTAGTACAGCGTCTGATTGGAAAGGGCTTCATTCTTCAGTTTAACAATAATCCCAAACACACTGCCAGGGGAGTAAAAGCATACCTGGATAGAAAAAACACAGTGGGACACTATCATAGATTGGTCTCCTCAGAGTCCTAACCTCAACTTTACTGACAGACCAAAAGGAAGCCAACATCCAAAGAAGAGCTTTGGATGTCCTTCCTGAAGAGCTATCCCTGAAATAAAGGTGGTCATGGCAAATATTTGACTTTCAAGCTTATTAGTTTTACAAACCTCTTTTCTGCCTTGTATGCTGTATTTCCATGTATGATTGCATATGTTTCACACAGTTCCCATTTGCCTTTTTAAAAATATTTTTAAAAAATGAGTGATAGCTCAAGACTTTTTCATAATGCTATAACTAAAGAGAATTAAAAACAATTTAGAAAATCGAGGGAGACGTGTTACAGCAACAGCCTGCGACCAGACATGAAAAAATTAATGGTCAGTATGGCCCAATTTTGTGCGTATTTAAACCACTTTCAATCAAAGGTCTTGGTAGTTCTTTATCACTTCTGTAGTTTGGCTATACTGCGAACTGATTGACCACCTATTTGTACGTACCACCGGTCAATGACATTTAACCTGCAGTAAGAATAATTGCCACATTGCCAAGTGAGATGATCACAAGGATGTCACATTTTCACAGCCACACAAAATAGGAACTGTAAGTCACCAGAGGAGTGACCTTAAAAAAGCTATGGGAGTAAAAGTGAAAATGCTTCAAGATGAAGACAGAGGAGAAATCTGAGGTTACTTTTTCAAACATACTTATACTTCCTCTTCTTCTTCCTCCTCCTCCTCCTCCTCCTGCCCCTTCCGCTCCTCCTGCCAGCCGATTCAGATCACCATGCAACTCTCACCGCTATAAAAATCACCTCCATCACTATCAGGGGTCGCAAACATCCCACAACTCTGACTGGCCGAGGTGAACGTAAACCCTCTGAGAGGTGAGTACTTCAGATCTAATTGACTCGATGACTTTTTTTTAAAAATTTGACTGATGTGATCTTTAGCGCTCCATCTGCCCGTGTTTTTCTCCGTCTCCGGTGACATTCCAGCGCTCGTGTCAGCGGAGATGTTGGCAGGTGCGTTAGTTCTGGGCACCATCCTTACAGCTTTACCAGGTAAGAGAAATCACAGAGAGATCAAAGTATGACGTTTTTCTTTCCATTTTGTGCATCAAACAAGAAGCAAACTAAACCTTTGTGCATTCTTTGAGATTAATTACTAGATGTGTGGGTTGTTGTTGTTTTTTTAATCAAAGATTAAACTGATTTTTATTGAAAAGTATATTACATGCAAAAGGATTTACATGACAGGAGTAAAAAAAACAACAACAGTTTTTACAGATGTATTGTGCACCAAGGCTTCTGCAGCCAGGTGTCCTTGCCTTTACGCTCAGGTTATTTATAAGTATTGATTGCCTTTTGTGCAACGTAGTCAGCTGAGGCAGGCTGTTAGGAGCACAGGAAGTCACAATGGCTGCTCATCAAGCCTCATTTACACTGCTTCACTTTTATGTGTCCCTCTGAACGGAGCAGTGAGAGCTGTGGTTTGACAGCTTTCCCTCCGAGGAGTCACTCTAACTTGTGGGTTGTTGAGATTTATTCTTTTACTTCCCAAATATGTATTCATTGACCCTGGTGGAGCCTGTATTATAAGATGACGTGATGAGATGGTGAATCATACACATGTGGTTTTTGTAGGCTTTCTTTTAACTGTGTGTGTCTGTGTGTGTGTGTGTGTGTGTGTGTGTGTGTGTGTGTGTGTGTGTGTGTGTGTGTGTTCTTCAATATTTCTGTCTTATACCTGTTTGTGCCCCCTGCAGGCATCCAGAGCAGGTGGAGTGTCTCATTTTCTAGGAAGCAGATCTGTGTGTGGGCAGGAACGACCGTCACCCTGCCCTGTCGATATGACTACCCATCAGGTACAGAAGATGGGTATGGTAGATGGGTTCTGTACTATCAGATAAACACTGGATAGTAAGAAATAGTATAAAAATGTAAAGCGTTAAAGAAAGATGAAATTTGCAGTTTTTATTTGTATGTTTGTTTTTATGATCTTCACAGGTCACACTGTAAAGCGGGTCATGTGGTTCCGTGTGTCTGCTGAGGGTCGCAGGGAGTTCACCCACCACACCGACCCAAACCAGATCAGCCTGTCATACCGCGGACGCACACGGTGGGACCACCCGCACATCACAGATGCATTAAAGTGAAAGTTTGGTTGTGAAAGTTCTTTTAACACTTCTAGAAATAATGTGTTTTAATATAAATCTATCTTCCAGTTATACTGGGGGTAGCTACTCCAGCTGTTCAGTCCAGATTCGCGGTGTAAAGCTGAGTGATGCAGGTCAGTATCACTTCAGATTTGAGACAGATCAGCCCCTGGGGAGATGGACCTCCCCGGACACCATCACTCTGGATGTAACAGGTAGGTTCACACTAATGAAAGTTGCTATGACTGCTATTATGTAATAAGGTCTTAACAGCTGTGCTTCAGACCTCCAGGTCCAGCTGCATCCAGCCAGGCCTGGCAACATGTTCGGCTTCGGAGACACTGTGTTTGTGGGCTGCCAGGCCAGAGGATGTGCTGCTCCAGGAAGGAGCCTTGCGCTCTACAGGTGCGTGAGTGTGCATGTACACAGTACACACCGTACATGTCTCTCAGCTGTTATTAGAGTAAAGTTAGAATTATGTTGTTTGTTGTTGGTGGCTGTAGCTCAGGAGGTAGAGGAGGTCATCAGCTAATGTGAAGGCTGGTTGTTTGATCTCTGGCTGCTCCAGTCTGCATGCCAAAGTATACTTGGGCAAGATACTGAGACCCTAGTTGCTCTCCAATGCATCCATCGGTGTGTGAATGCTAGACAGAAAGCACTTAAGCATAGAAAAGTGCTTGAGTGAATGGGTGTGAATGAGGCATGTTGTGTAAAATGCTTCGAGTGTTAGAAAAAAAAAACTGTCTGTTGAGCATTTATAAAAACCAGTCCATGTTAAGTGTAGACTTTATGTGTGCACACAGGAATGGTTTAAACCTCGGCTCTTATGAGAAATGGATGATCATTAACCGCTTTGACCAGCAGCATGCCGGAGCATACACCTGTCGACCGATCCCACCCCAGAACGTACAGTCTCCATCACTCTCACTGGCACTGGGACGTAAGCAACCTCAGGCAACCAAACCTGAAAGCTTTTCATATCTTCTAGTTTATCTCTTCATGTCGTGTTCACAGGCATGTAGGAGGATATTCCTGGAATAGCTGGAAAGTGTAACTGCTGGAAAGATCAGCAATTAAATTTTCAGATTTTACTGAACTTCACACATATAGGGCATATATGCATGTTACAGCCCCTGATAAACGTTAAATTGTGTACAAACCCATTAGGATGCTGTGCACAATGTAAATCTACACATAACGATTTATTTATAAATCAATTACATTTTATATTTAATTCAAAATCATACAAAGACTACATAAGTATGTTACACTAATTTTTTTAATCATGTCATAGCTAATGAGGTTACCAAGTAATGTGCAGAAAAAGGTCCTTTCAGAATAAAATATAGTGTGGCTAAACAGTTCAATAATTCCACAATGAAGTCTTCAGTATCCAGAGAAAATATCCGAACCTTCAGGGACAAGGTTGAAAACCAACACTGATTGCCCTCCAAAGAACATTTCCAAAAACTATCCTGAGGTCTGACCAACCAAATTAACTTTAATCTTCTTTCTTATTACAGTGAAACAATGCCAAACTACATTCTAAATGTACAGCATGGATTTGTAGAAAAATTGAAATAGAAACATTTTGAACTCCACGGAACAAAAATACAACAGAGTTGCCCCTAAACTGCTGTGCTTCTGCAATCCAAAATCAACCAATTCAAAAAAGCAACAACAACATCTGCTCTCCTCAGATCACAAACATATAATATACTGCACACATGCTCCTGTTACCAAATTCGCAATGAGCATATTCAATAAAATTCGACTAGTTCAGCACTTGATATGTTGTCTGTACTGTTTTCTGTTAAATACAGGGTTTTCATTTTGTTATACTTACTCATCTTCTCAGGTTTTTGGTAATGGGGTTGTCCCTCTTTGCTCTTTCTCATGCTCACCAGATGGTCCTCGCTTCACCTCCATCACAGTCTTTCCAGTAGGAGAGGTGTCAGAGGGCAGCTCCGTCACTCTGACCTGCAGCAGCGATGCAGCTCCGCCTGTCGAGAGCTTTGCTTGGTTCAAAGGTACCGGACTCACCTCTGATCATTGTATTTAAATTATATGTGATACATCCACGTCCACCTGATTGAGATGGATGGACTAACTGGTTGATGACAGTTACACATAAGTAGACATAATAATGAATAATTTGTAGAAATAAAAAAAAAATCAAAACTAACTGAAGTTCTGGAAACAGTGTACTATAAAAGAAAACACATTTCTTGGATTATGACCACACTTAAATTTTATGCCTGCACTAATCCTTTGTGTGTTTTCCAGACATGGAGAGTGGGAGCATCCCAGATAGTTTCAGGCCTCAGCTCCACCTGTCCAACCTCAAATACACAGACAGAGGAGAGTATTTCTGTGTAGCCCGTAACTCACTGGGAACGGATCGCTCCAAAGCGCTTCTACTCAATGTCACTTGTAAGTTTGTTGCATGTTTTTATTAATATCACAGAGACAATCTGCCCCCAATTAAACCAATCAAAATCATGTGTTTAGTAATAGATTGGTGTCATTTTCTGTAAATGGTTATTCTAGTCGGGGTTTTATTCTAGTTCTTATTGTGTAAATCTGTCAAAGGGCAGTCTGGGTTAAACTGATTAAGCAACGATTCTATTTTAAGCGAGATGTGAAGCGAGTACTCAAATAAATGTCATATGGATAAAGGAACAGGAAGTGATACAACCTCAACTCAGACAGTTTTTTTTTCATACTGTTCCACACAGATTAAGTTTAATAATCAAATAAAAAAGCTCTTTCGGCTGCTCTCTTACCACAAGGGTTTGTCACAGTGTTTAGCTCTGTGTGTTTGATTTGGAAATTTATGCTGGACGTCCTTACTGACGCAACCTCAAAGAGAATTTGCAAAATCACTATAAATAATAGCATCTTTTTTTTCTTTTTTGACTGTCTGTCCGCTTCTTTAGACTCTCCAAAGAACACTCATGTGCTGGTGAGTCCTCGAGGGGATATGAGAGAGGGCTCATTTGCAAACCTGAGCTGTGTCAGCCACGCAAACCCTCCTGCCAACAGGTATGAGGGTACAGCAACAACCAAGTTTCATTCTACTATGTATTTTTTCCTCATCTTGGTGTTTTTCCTCATCAGTATCATGATTCTCTCATGGCTTTTCACCACATTAAAATTATGTAAATTCAAACTTCAGTCTTGTTTCTCATTTAAAACTGGATATTTTGCAAGTCCTGAATTATTTTATTATTTCTTCACCGAAAACCCCCCCAACACTATCAGTCATTAAAAATATAAGTAAGTAAAGTTTATTTAGTTAGCACATTTTGTGGCCATAAAAGGCACAGAGTGCTGTACAGAAATTAAGACATTTTTATTAACATCAATAGAGAAACATCTTAAAACAGAATTTAAGAAAAATACTTAAAGACAAATGAATGTCAACAGCAGGCCTGATTATACCTGTTAAAGGGTCTGGGTGCCACAGACTAAAAGCCCCTGTCCCCCCTAATCTTCAGTCTTCTACCAGGGAAAACTAACAAAAAATGATTGCTTCATGTTTGCCCAGTCCCATGAATCATTTTCACCCTAATCATCATCATCCCCACCACCATAATCACCTCTCTGCTACAGGTATGCTTGGTATCGTATCATTGGTGACCAGGTGATTGCTAAAGGTGCCTTTCAGAACCTGACATTGTCGTCTGTGCGTGCTCACCATGCTGGTCAGTACTACTGCAGAGCTTCAAACGGATTAGGATACCAAACGTCACCTGTTGCTACTCTCACTGTGCTGTGTAAGTAATGAATGTGTTGGCTGGCTTCGTGTCGTTTAGCAGTTTTGTCTCAGTTTCTGCTCTGCTTCTACTCCTGTGGCTTTTCTTCATAGAGTAAAGTTTGAAGCTGTCTTAATTCTTTCTTATTCTCTCTCAAGATCCCCCTAAGAACACTTCAGTTCTGGCTCGTCCCTCCAGTGTTGTGGATGCTGGCAGACCTTTGACCTTGACCTGCAGCAGTCAGGCGAACCCAGCAGTGGACAACTTCACATGGCACCGATTAGCTCTGGATGGAGGGGCTGTGCAATGTCAGCATATAAAAACTAACTAATACATTTTAAAGCATTTATACAAAGGCAACATTTCCATCTGTAGGATCCTCCACAGGAAGTATGTTATATGAATTTGTGTTGTGGCATGCATAAGAAGAATCTCCTTTCCTGTGCTCTGACATGCAGCTTGGGTCACCAAGTCTGGTCCTGTCTTTACCATCTCTGAGGTTGGCCCGAGTGCAAGCGGTCAGTACTACTGTGAGGCCAGGAATCGAATTGGAGCCCACAGCTCTCCAGTCCTCACCGTAAGAGTCAGAGGTACAAACACATTCACATTTGTTACATGTCTGTCAACAGGATGTTATCAAGCACAGTTTTTTTGTTAGTTTATAAAAATCATGGCTGTAATTTTTAACCACAGTGCAACTTTAAAGAAGGACATGTTGTTTGGTCTGCCCGCCACTTTGGCTGAGACTGAAATATCTGAACAAAGATGAAATTACGTAGGAACATGAATATTCTTAAAGAGGATCCAAACACTGATTAACTAGCAACACCTACAGACTATAAAATATATATATATAAAGATGTGCATGGTTTGAAGCCTCAAGTTTAGTGTATTTGTTGTTATATGCAGCCAAAACTGATTATGACAGAGTGGAGTGCTAAGGTACCAGCTAGCGCCTCCTGCTGTGGTTAGCAAAGTGCTTCTGCAAACAGACACATATCCCTGCTAATTAGAGCTAACATGAAAATAAAATGATACTAGAATACTGTTCACCAAATGTGTGTGAAACAAGCTATAGTTAATAAGCACAGTTAATAAGAAAAAAATGAAGGATATTCATTATATAATTGCTTTAAAAATGCTACCACAGGCACAATTCCTTCTTATTCTTATTAGCTGAAGCAATACATAGCTAATAGCTAAAGCGCTATCAGAGAGCAGAAAAGCAGTTTAGCAGTTGGTTTTAGCCAAACATTACCAGCATAGGTAGTTTTAGCTAGAAAAACTCCCCCCAAAAACATTAATAATAACATAAATATCTGCACAGTTTTCAATAAAGAGGTATGTTAGCACCATAGAGCAAAGCTTTGTTGGTCTAATTCTGCCCAAGTTTAGATTGACTCACTTTTGGCACTAGCTAGCGCAAATGTCCAGTTTCAGAACTTCAGTTTTTGGTACTTTCCTCCCAGGATATTGCTCTTTGGAAGCAGCAAGAGATCATCAAAATGAAAACTCAAAAATCATTGGAAAGTTTTTAAACTTTGTCCTCACATACACAATGTACACATTTCCTCCGGATAAACTGTAGTAATTTGGGGGATCTCTTCACTTTTTACACACTCACACTCAATCAGGCGCAGACTCAACAAGGCGTATTTATCTGCAATCTTTTACCATAGGAGATGTTTGGATAGATTTCCCTTTGTCTGAATGGTGATGAAACCTTCCTGTCAGTATCGCAGGCTCTGGTCTTCATTGTATATGGTCTCATGATTTCTGACTGTTTTTGTATGAGTCATGGTGAGTCACTTAAAGCCCTCTCTCTACAAGGGGGGAGGAGGAGGTGATGAGGTGCTGTGGAAAACGACTCTGTGAGTCTAGACAGCTGAAGAAGTGGAGCTGGGTTTGGAAATCAGGACTGGAAACACAAGACTAAAGTCTAGACAGCGGCTAACTAATGCCGTGCTCTTTCCCTCTTTAGTCACATACACTTTCTATTTTTATTTCTGATCTTTTTTTAGCTTGCGGCACTTCTGTACTCCATCATTTCATCTCCTTTCTTCCCCCCTCTAGTCACACTGATAACCCTTGTAATCCTTCCATTGGCAGGTCGTTTAAAGGTCATTGCCTTGGCCTCAGCAGTGGGTGTTTCTGCTGGACTCATCACACTGACAGTGGCTGTTATGATCAGGTGACAGGAAGTACACTGCTATTTATCCATTACTACTCCTGGGCTATTTCTGTGATCTTACGCAGACATAAAAAAAGCACAATTTCTTCCTCTGTTTTAAGGAGGAACATATGACAGTTTTGTCAGTTGCTCGTTTTTCTTCCCTTTGGCTTATTTGTATTAGTGTTGTTAGAGGGGTTGTCACTTGCTAACAATCCCTTTTCTTTACCTTCCCAGTAAAAACATGCACAGAGTAGACACAGAGTCAGTAGACGTGACAAACAAGGTACAGTGATCTTTGTTTAATTGGTTTTGATCAGTTATGGAATTGCTCTATCTCTTCATTTCTTGCTGTAGTTTTGCTGTAAGTCTAATTCTCAGTTTTCTCTGCTGTGTGTGTGTTTTCGTGCGTTTCCCCCACAGTGTCCATCAGTGACAGCTGACACTATGTTTTATGAGTCAGCTGAACATATCTACCCAGTGAGGAAGGGCAAGATGTCCGACATACCGGTGAGAAAATATTTACGAGGCATTCATGGCTATGGATGAGAAATGCAGTTTTTGCATTTGTGTGTGTGTGTGTGTGTGTGTGTGTGTGTGTGTGTGTGTGTGTGTGTGTGCAGGAGGAGCCAGAGGATTTGAGTGACAGCTCCCATCCCTCCATTGTTCCTCTGAAGGATGCTCCACCAATCACAGAAGGTCAAAGTTGCAGCCTTGCCTCCAACTACATCACTGTGCACTACTCCAGGTTGTCCAGGTACAGCACACCTGCATATCTTTTTCCCATATTACGCAAACTACAAACCTTCCCCATCCCAAAGGTCCCACCCAATATATTAAAAAATTTAAATTTAAAAAACATACACTCAAAATTAGCCTAGTGCAATTGTGTTCAAGCAGTTAAAATAAATGATAAACAGCTGACACATGTATAAGAACTTATTAGCATTCCCTCTGAGCCTGAATTAGATTTTTCACAGTTTAAAAAAAAACATCTTTCAGCCAAAGTGATGTAGCTGGAGGGTGAGGACAGCAGAGGTATTAAAAGGATGCCGGGATGTGTTTTAGATCGTCTTGATTTTTACAAATGCAATCTGTATACGGTCTTAACCTGAATAAGGGCGAGTCTTTTTCATGAGGGTGAGGTATGAATTCTGCCAATTACTTTTCCCCAGTAATCATCCCCAAATTTAAGACCCACTTCCTGTTTCACTGTCGAATTGTTTCTCCAACATTTAGGTCCACAGTACTATTGTTACTTGTGCTGTTTTCTACTATTGCTTTATGTTATGTTGACCTGTTACTTTTATGATATGATGTGAGATGAACTAATGTGGTTCCTGTTTGCTGTCCGTGCAGCACAGATCAGGTGCAGGTGCACAACCGGCCACTGGGTGCTGATAAAAAACCAAAGGATTCCTCCAAAGTTGTTTACACTTTACTGCCCCAGCCTCGTCACTAACCAGGAGGAAGCAGCTTCAGGTAAGTCACTTACAGCTGCTCGTGTCAAAAACAGCAACAGCACTGTGATGTAGGTTTGTTGTTGCTTTTCCTACCTGGACACGCTCCCTGTTTAAGTGCAGGTTTTATATTTTATTCTGTTCTCCTGTTTTCTTTCTTAGCTGAATGGCACATCAGCTTTCCTCATTTGAGCAAATCACTTTGCTTCTGTCCACTCGAGGGACAGGAAACTCACCCTGGTGACACCGTACACCGTTTTGGATCAGACACTCGGATTGTGTCACATTATGGATTCACTAAGAGAGAAGCATGTGTTCTTTCCTGGAGTCCAGCTCCTAACTTTGCTGCATTTCTCTGTTTCTTTCTGTGCACCTGAACAGCAATAACACTGAATGCCTTTTTGCTTGCACTCCACGTTGCAGGTTGCCATATTTCTAGTGTTGCCTGTTTGTTGATACTTAACAGTGGAATTTTTGATGACCAATTATTAGCGGTTGCTACTTTATCATTTGCAGTGATGATTTGTATGAAAATAAGAGCTTGATATCTGAGGGAGAAATCGTGTAGAATCATTTTTGACATGCATAAAGGATATACAGCACTTCACATTGATGAGTTCCCGCACTGATTGATCTTCTCCACTAAATTTAGATGTTTGTGCAGTTGATAGAGCTTATATTATATCCAATCAATGCAAATGAGCTGTCAATAAAATCAAATCAAATCAATCAGTTGTGCATGTCTGTTTTTCTTTGCTGCTGATTTTAAAATATCATCTAATTCATTTGTAATAAAATAATAAATATTTCAAACAATTAACTCTCACAAGAATCTTATGTATTTATCTATGACTGTGTACTTTGTGAACGGTTTTCACCGGACATTTGAGACTTTCCACAGTGACATGGATCGACTCAAGAACGTCTTGCTTCTTGTGGTGATCCACGTCTTGTTTTGCAACACTTTAGATTTTAAGCCTGAAAAGGAAAAATAAGCACATATTGGGTCTCATTCACTAACCTAAATGTTCTTATTGCGCAAAAAAAAGAAAGAAAGTGAAACCTCAAACATGAACCAGTATTGTCCCAGTTATCACCGCGTTTGTTGGATTCACTCTCAACTACTCCTGACTGCTACCATAATCTCCATGCCACACCCTCTTTTCTCTATATAAAGAAATCTCTTTATCTTGAAATTAATGGAAATCAATTCATAAATGAAGTCTGACTGAAGCAACTGAAACTATAGTCTCTGAAGAAAAAGTGCATTTTTACTCTAAAGTGATTGTTTCCCTTTTTTTAAGCAGAAAACACCAGGCTTGGGCTGGAATATATCTAAATTGATATTGGGAAATAAAAGAGCAACAGATCATAATAAAAAGGTTGAGGACAAGGATGTGTCAGCCTCAGATGAGAAACCGCACTGCAGTTATTGAAAAACATCCACTATCACAAGCAAAGCTGGGACAGTGTGGAGAAATGAAACTATACTCTTCATCTTCCATACTTGCTGGATGGAAATGAAGAATATTTTAAGATGAGATCAGATTAGACACCACAATGCCTTTGTTAGCTGTTATTTGCTTATTAATAAAAAGGTTAAAAGTGTTCACATTTGTCACATATTTCATTCTAATTCTGAGCACTTTAAGCTTTTAGTGTTTTGGAAACCTTTGAATGATGAAGAAACTTATAATAACCAGTATTAGTAATAGAATTAGTAGTGTTCAGTTTAAAGATGTGTGACTAAATTTTCTAAGACATCCGGGCTTTTATCATTTGTTCATATGTTCTGAAGCGCTTCTACATTTGCTCGTATTGATGAGTCCCAGATTTGTACACACATTTCTTTAGAGGCTCACTCACTCTTTCTGAAAGAGTCTACATATTTGACCTGATGCAGAACTTCATCCTATAGCTTCAAACTTTCAAAGTTTAGAAAATGTTTTTGCCTATAAATGTGTCACTAATGCGCTGTTTGTAACATTTCCTTTCTTTTGCAGCAATTGCAATATTTCGTGGGGCAATGTGTCCAGAAAAGACAACGTTAAGAAATCAGTCATGACAAGTCATGATGTTACAATCATCCTGTTGGACGCACGATATAAAAGTACCTTAACAATGCCTTAGTTAAATACAGCGGAGAGGAGAGGAAATCACATGGTGATTGTTCCTTTGAGAACAGGCTCTTCCTGTTCATGGACACCAACCACAGTGCACAGCATAATTCACTTATGTTGGATACAAGAACCACAAACCTGAATGAGTCATGAAACATGCTCTTAAAATCCATTGCTTTTGATACTTAAACGCCTGCGAGATCCAAAACACAAAACAATCCATTGCCACAGCGTTAGAGTGACAGCTGCACACAGAGGTATCACATGAAAATACATTAAGACGATCACAGCGCTTCACTTTGAGCAAAAAATATCTATGAAGACACCGGTGGGTTCTCCAGCTTCGCTTAAACAGAGCGGTAGCCCCACCTGGTGGAAAAATATATTTCAGGTCGTCTACAAGCCCTTCCTACATCCTTGACTCCTTTCCTCGGCAAAAAAAGGCGATGAGCTAGAACAGCGGGCATTCAACAAATGAGAAATCCTTAATTAAGAACAGTCATTTTAAAGTGATGTTAGTCGAAGTCAGAGTTGATCATCTTAAATAAATAAAACAGCTTCTTTCGATGTAAGCTGTATCAATTAGTTGTCTTTTTTTTAAATACAATTATTAGATAATGCTTTGTTTAACAGAGTATGGAAACATTTTAATAGGTTAATTATAAATTTAAATATTTGTGTTGATATCCGTTTTTTAAAAAAAATGAAACTATAACTTTTCATAATCATTCTGAAAGTGTGCCATTAGAGGAAGCAACGAAAGGATGTGTGCCTACTTCTGCTTTTTGCACCACAAAAATGAAGAATGTGTAAAGCAATAAGCCACTTTGCTTCAGCCGGTGAGTACTTCTGATCACTAACTCATGGTTTCTTTATTTTGTGGGACAGCTGGTGTATATTGACCTGTGTCATGATTGTTGCAGGTAAAACTTCAAATAATGGAAAGCTGGAGCCTGATCATTCTGGTAATAACGCCAGGTGAGGAGATTTATTTTTTAATCTAATAAACAGGATATGTGATGACTAAAATGGAACTGCAGCGCTAATTCTGGAAATACATTTTTCTTCATTTTCTGCATTTTTGTCCAAAGGTGTCTGGAGCGGAGACTGGAGTGTGACGTCTGAAAATCAGTGTGCTTTGAAAGGAACATCAGTATTGATCAACTGCAAATATGACTACCCTGTAGGTCACTTTGTTACTTCTGTCAGCTGGTTTAAAAACGTGTATGCATCTGGCAGATGGGGACTTTTTCCTCTTGATAAACTTACTTCAAGTCTGGACCACTTTAAATATTTGGGAAACTTCCGCGGCGACTGCAGTCTGAAGGTCAATGATGTACAACACACTGATGAAGGAGCTTACTATTTTCGTTTTACCACAACATTCAACAGATGGATGAGCATAAAACCGATGTACTTGTCTGTGGGAGGTAACGACTAATTACAAGAACATTTCTGTTTCGATGAGTTTAGCAAACATTTATTGATTTATGTTTCTTTATCAGAGCTGACCACAGTCATCGAGCCGAGCACTGTGACAGAGGGAGGTCATGTCGCGCTGACCTGTATGTCAGGCTGTCCTGAGCCTAAAGACATTGTCTGGTTCAGAAATGGGCAACCTGTGTCAAATCCAGTCTTCCAGGCCAGGAGAGAGGATGCTGGGGACTACTATTGTGCAGTCCATGGACAGGAATCAGTCAGATCCGCACCTGTGGCTCTGAATGTTCAATGTGAGTAGAGGGTTAAGAAAGCATACCACAGAATCCAAGTTACAGGCCCCGCTCTATTCACGTGCTACATGAATATATGATTAACTTTATTATATATGACTGTGTTTTTCTTTCTGTCTCCTGTGAGGAAGACCAATTGTTACAGGAGTACACTTGAATCTCATCATAATATTTCAATAACTTTGATCATGTGAATTATTAGAATCATTTTTGGACAATTGTGTCCAGAAATTGGCTCAAGTTGTACTTTTACATATCCTCACTTGGACATCACAATATCTCACCTTTACTCTGGGAAATTAGGTTAAAGGTTGCTTGAAGTTTGATCTAAGTGTGAAATAAGGTCAGATAAGGTTATGTTTTATCCAGCATGAGCACCATTGTTGTGGCCCATGCCGATGAGATAAGAGACAGCAGGATGACAGAGGAGTTTTTTTGTGGCTTGTAAAAATTAGTTTTAAAAACAGAAAAGGGGAAGTAAAATACTGAAATTTTCCTTCATTGTATTTTATTTTTGTTGCATGTATTGACACTTTTAATGACTCCATCACTACGATCAGGATTTATCATCCACGTGGCTACACTTCCTTATCTCCTCTCAACCAGACGCTCCCAGAGAAGTGACACTATCAGTGAGTCCATGGGGAGACATCCGCAGTGGAGGGACAGCGACTTTGACCTGCAGCAGCGATGCCAACCCTCCTGTGGCACACAGCGGATACAGCCTGTATAAGGATGGACAGCTTCTCAGTTCAGGGCAGAATTACATCATCTCTGACATCCTCCCCAGCGACAGAGGATGGTACTACTGCCAGGCATGGAATAACATCAGCTGGAGGGGCATCGACTTGATCAACTCGACAGAGGTTCACCTTGACGTTAGATGTGAGTGTGTCTGGTTACTTGGAAGCTATCTAGGAGGGCAATTAGACACATGGTCATGAGTACAGTGTCAGACATTTCAAAGGCAATCCTCAACTGACTGATATCACAACTTCCTGATGATTGCTACAGTCTGTCTGTTTGCTGTCACAATGTGTCAAAAAGTTCAGTCTGGAGGAAGTGATATTAAAATATCCATGCTGATGCATCATTTTTTAACTTTTTACAGTAAAGCACACATGTCGTCTAACTGGTTTCACCATCTACTTAAAAAGGACATTTTCTAAGACCTGATTATTCACAAGTTAACAAGTTCTTTAGTGTTGTCCATAGGGAGAAGAGACTGATGAATGAAAGGACCAGAAACACATTTTTTTAAAAATCTAATTGTTGCAGTCTAAGGTGACCCCCTTAGACAGTTTTTTAGTGTTTAGGTGGGTTTATGTGGGTTCTAAAAACTTTTATTTTAAACATTTATTTCCTAAATTGAGCTTCACGGAAAGAGTTAAATCTATAACAGTTTTTTAGGGCTCCATGGTCCAAATCAGTCCTACATGTCCACTTTAATTTAGAGATCACTTCTGGAAGACAAAGTCTGTCCTGTCCTAACAAATACGTGATGAAATTAGTTTAACTGATACTCTTAAGGTTTATTCATTCAAAGAATTAATCTTTAACAAGATTCCAACAAATGTAACATTTTCCACTGAAGTTAGGCATCAAAGTTAGATGCAAGATTACATGCAACCAAATTAATTAAAGTCAGCAGCTTTTGTGTGTGTGCCGGGGGGGGGGGGGGGGCATCCTTTTTTTACTTTAAACTTTGGATCTTAAAGCCATTGAGAAGTGTATCTCTTCTGTTTTTATTAGGAAGACAAGAGAGCACATTTAAATGTAATTATTTTAGTTGTAATGCGTCTCTTCAGATTTTAGCACTCAAAGAAGAAGAGGTTGTGAACAGCTGATCACTTATCACCATTTTTCCTGTCTTTTTATAACAAATCTGTTAACAATCGTGATGTTTGGGCTTTTTCAGACCCTCCAACGAACATTTCCATTTCAGTGGATCCACAGCTGTTTGATGAGGGCAGCAGTGTCAATCTGACCTGCAGCAGTGTGGCTAACCCCGCAGCAGACAGCTACATATGGTACAAAATGGTTGACTCTGACGCCACCAGCTCCATGCTGCAGGTGGGCTCAGGACAGCTGCTCTCCCTTCCCTCTGTGGAAGAGTCCCACGGTGGAGTGTACCTCTGCAAGGTCAGGAACAGTCTCGGGGAGAGCAACTCAACTCAGGTGCTGCTGTCCATGCAGAGAAAGCAGGATGGTAGGAGCCAATACTTACAGATGCTCGTTGTATCCTCAAAAGGCAATCTGTGCCAAATACCACAACCTCTTAATCTGATATGAAAAATAAATCTTAAGTTGCCTCAATTCCTTTATTGAAATTTATTGAGCTGATTGACTATATGTTATTTCCAAGCTGAGTGTGTGCTTTCCCCTCAGAAGGGCAGTCCCTCCCAGTCTTGGCTGGAATTGGAGTTTCTCTTCTTGTGACACTAGTGGTGGCGCTTCTTCTGTTCCGGTGAGTCAGTAAGAGATGGCGAGTGAGGCTTTAGTGAGGCTGACTCATGTCATTTTTTGCACTTAAACACTTACTTAAATGTGCATATTTCTTATGTCACTGCATTTTTTTTCACGTGTTGCAGAACTTTTAAAAACGTGTCTTACCTAATGCTGTAATGAGTGTTAACATGCACCGTGTGTGTCATCTGAATTTCCATTCTGCTGCTGCCATTTTTAACACATCAGTCACCGCAGCATATTTCTACACTGACAGTCGGTATCTTGGCATTTAGTAGGGAGGGGAGCATTCATTGCTAGGGTCCATATCAGCACAGAAGGTCACTACTATACATAAAACGACTTTCATGGATTCTTTATAGATTGTGTCTGTACATTTAGTTAGTTTTGATATATTAAGAAACTCCTAGAAGGCAGGATTTTAGCATGTAAGCTGCCTGTGTTTGCTAGTATTACATAACAGCTTCCCTTAAACATTAGGAAACGTGACTGAGCAACGTAGAACGTTCTGTTCTGGCTTGAGTTGGCAGAACTTTTGACATATTTAACTCTTGATTTATTTATCTTTTTAAATTTTGTTGTCATGGCAGGAAGAAACAGAAGACTAGCGCAGACAAGAAAGTGAGTACATGCAAAAAAATCTTTAAATAAGCCATATCTGTCAGTTACACACAGGTTCGGGAAGTATCCCGCTGAAGAGCATGCGCACACACACACACACACACACACACACACACACACACACACACACACACACAGATAGCAGACCAAATATTCTAGTGGAGTGATGATTTTGATGTGTCCACTCTGGCAGAGAGTGTTTGACTCCAGGCTCATCAGAACAAGATCAAGATCTTCAGCCACCGAAGATCCACCTGACACCACTTATGCTAACATCCACCCGCTTCCATCCTCGACTCCCTCTGTCCCTCCTCAGGCCATTTCTACGGCTTCACAGAGGAGCTCACACCGGGTGGTAAGTAACGATCCACAGTCGTAACTGTTCAGCATTTCTGCTAAACACAACACACTCATATTACATCAACTTCTTCTTTCTCTTAGGATACCGCTTCTTATGAAGATGAGGTTACCTATTCCACAGTGACCATCAGGCCCAAAGACCCCAGTTTTCCACATCACCTGAACTCCAACAGACAGCCACAGCACTCCTGGTATGCTTCCTCTCCAAACTCTGACATGTTCACAGCACAGCATTGTAGGGTTTCCACACACATCTCCAACTAAAGCAAAATAACTGAAATCATCACATATAAAAAAAATTAAGATTTATCTTTATAACAGTGACTAAAGCCTGCACATTTCTAGAAACGTTACTAAAGGAGACACAACCACACTCCATGATAACAAAACTGATCTTAAACTGCCTCAGTGTTGCTATCGGTGTGTCATCATAAAGGTTATCACAGAAGTGACACCTGACACAGCTTCAGACTGCGACCCAACCACATTGTTCATTCCACTGTTTTCTCCTCAGGTCCGAAGCAAGAGAAAACAACGACTCTGTGATCTACGCCTCTGTGTTTAAATCCAGCTGAGTCTCTGCATTTTGTCATGTGCCCTCTTCCTCTCAAGAAAATAAGCAAGTTTAAAGCTCAGTGTACCGTCATCTTAAGGCAAACCTGTTTTCAGGAGTGTTAAAACGTTTGAAAACTAAATGTTTTTTATTGAAATAATTTTAATTATTTATAGCAATCATGTTGTTGCACTGTTTATGTTGTAAAAACACAACTGATCAAATTAATAGCATATGAAATTTTTAAAAAAACGTTTTAAAGGATGGCAGGGAGAAAAAATGACATTTCTGTCATTCCATCAGCTAAGAGGTAATGAGACTGGTTCAGCTTGTGAATTAATTTGTTAATGGGATTGATTAATATATTATAAACAGATATGAGTCACAATTTTAGCTGACAGGGAGGAGGAGATTGGCGCTTTAGGAATTTCTTCAAGAATAATATTTTACTATTTACAGACAGGACAAAGTGTGACTTTCTCAAGAAACATCACAAACGAATCCAGGTCTCGATATTCTTCCTGTGGGTGCAGGGGTGTACGCTGTGCAGTGGCAGAGTACTCGTGTTATTTCTGTTAAGTCTGGGTTACTGTAAAACTGCTCTGTACTGTTATTTTATTTAGCTGAATTTATTTATTTAGCTCGAATGAATGAACAATGAATATTGTTACAAGATGCCTGCGGCCAATTAAAGCTTTATTTCAATGCAACACTCAATGCAACAATTACATTTTACAATATTTATAGTATGCACATGATAAATCCTGTAAGTGTAAAACAATTTTATTCCACATGGTGGTCCTAAATAGTAACTATTAGACTGAACAGACTTGATTGAACTGCAGTACTTCCTGCTTGGTAAAATCTGTTTACAAGTCAATCTTACCACTGACGCCTACATCATAAAAAGATGTTGATGTTCTTGATGTAGAATATTGAATCATTTATTTGGGTCATGTATAAATTCAATTTTCAGCAGCCACTCTAATAAGTAAGAACAAAACCAAGATATACAGTAATGTGTGTGCGTATATGTGTGTAGGAGGAATAAAACCAGTTAATGTGATGGGACACCTTTAGCATTTGAAAGTTGAAAGTCACAAGTATAAGTATAAAAGTCTGCAAAGTACATATTTAATAAGAACATGATTATAGTCGGTATTGCACTGTTGGCTCTTCAGATCAGCAAGTCTTTTAGACATGTGTAAAATGTCACAAATAAACATCTACATAAACAAGACACTGACTAATATTTACAAGGCAACAACAGAAAACTGATTGATTTTAACTGTAATCTGTATGATTTATTATTATTTTTATTATAAAAAAGTAAAGCTACTGCATATAAAAAGATATGGCGTGTATCACACACGTACAGGTTGAACTGTAAATGACTGTTATGAGTTTTAAGTTTAAAAAACAGAAACTCCAGGATTTCTCTACATGTTAATTAGCACTAATCTCTAGTTTTCTGTTAAGACCAAAGTACTTTAAGTATTTAGTACTAATTGATGATGCAGGGTGCACTCACTGTGGCTTGCTGAGTAGAAGGCTGCAGGAAGACCAACACTGAAGAAAGTGACTTGTGTGGGGCGAACAAATAAAATCTCCACATAAAGAAGAATTTCATAAAATGAGGCTTGAAATTACATCATGAATTCTTCAAACAGACCTTATAAGTACGCAATTAACTGATGTTGTATTTATAGGTTTACTTCTGGTAACTTTTTTTTTCCCACAGAAATGCAAAGAAAATGGTGTCAGAAAAATAATGTAGTTTACAAACTGTAGTGGTTCTGATTACTGCAGTGAATCAGTAAGCTCATCACTTGAGATCCTCATGTCTGGGCTCTGTCTGTGTATCCCTGCAAAGACATAAGCCTCTGCTAACATTTGATAATATGTACGGTATGAAGGTGTGACACAGTCACACCTTCATGTGTGTCCAGACTTTTCACTCTACAGTAAAGGCTCGGAGAGTTGTTAAAATCCTCAGAAAAATGCTTCAGTGAGAATGGAAGGCTTGACGAGAGGGGAACATCACAGCCTTGTTTCCCCCTGTCGTAGCACCTATGTAGTCACAGTATCACTTATGGGGACTGTCCATTTTGTCATCCAAGAGTGGAAAAAGCAGAAACATGAAAGCAGGAATCTCATGTCCGTGCCATTTTATGAACACCGGGTGAGTTTTGATAGTTCTGAGGAAAAACAAAAGCAGAATTGAACATGTTATAACAGGATGAAATTCTTAATTGTATCATTCTATTCATCTTAAAACATCAATATTCAGCAATTTTATGCTCCCAACATTGTGGAAACAGTTTGAGGATGATCCCTTCCTGTTGCAACATGACTATACACAAAGCAAGGTCCATAAAGACATGGATGAACGAGTTAAATGTGGAAGGCTGACCTCCACAACGTCCTGACCTTAATCTTACAAAACACCTCTGGCATGAATTGCTGCAGAGACTGCGAGCCAGGCCTTCTCATCCAACATCAGTGTCTGACCTCACAAATTGTGCAGGCTCATCAGGCCAGGCAGTGTTTTTCCAGTCTTCTGATGTCAAGTTTTGACGAGCCTGTGTAGTCTAATTTTTCCATTCTTTGCTGGCAGGAGTGACACCATCACTCCTGTGGCTGGTGTGCATTCAGAGATCTGCATACCTCTGTTGTAACAGGCCGTTGCCTTCCTATCAGTTTCTCCATTCTGATGTTTTCTTGAACTTCAGCAGGTTATGTTGCCCAACATATGTAAACACCACCATTGTGTTTCTGTTATTATTAGAAGATAATACAATTCAAGTAATACAGTAAAACGCTAATAAGAACATCACCACATGAAAGTGGGGGTTTTGAAGTAAGCAGCACAGTGAATTGCAGCAGAGGTGCAGGTAGAGATCAGGAATTTGTAGGCAGCACATAAAATCAGGAACTGCTGGGAATCTATGTTGAACTTGAATTTCAGCTAGTTTTGCATGTCAGAGAAGCCTGGCACCACCCAGGTAAGGTGGAGGCTTTCACACGCAAATGAAAATGCTGTAAGTTATAAAAATGCAAATGAGGTTGGGGGCGGGGGGCGCCACACCGGCCGGGAGTACCTGTGACCTTAGCCTCGCATATAATTGGATGAGGTTTCCATGTGACCAGGATCTTGCAGGTGATTGGAGGAACCTCGCGAAGAGCGTCTCTTATTACCATATAAGCATGTTATTCTCCGCTTGGTGAGAAGTTGTCAGGCTGGGTAGATTTAGGACACCGTGTGTTGGCGGCTTGGATTTTCCGTGCAATGCCGGGACGTCGTTTCTCTTCCATCGCTCCGGGAACTCCTCCGCACAGACCGGGGCTGGCTGCTCCGGACAGCAGAGACCACAAACTGCTCACTGCTGTGAGAGGGCTGTCTCGTCAGCTGGCTCGATTTGCTGCTGATGTGAATGACCAACTAACAGCGGTAAACGCAAAACTGCACTCCATAGACGAGAGGATGACCGCTTTAGAAGAAGTAGTGAACTTCCGCGCTTGTGTGGAGGAGAAGAGGAAAAGACGGGCGCACAATCCCAAGATTGCGGTATGTATGTGTGCATGTATGCGGCGTGTGCGTTAAGGAGGCAGAGGAGAGCCGCACAAACACCCCGAGCAGGAGAGGCAGAGAGAAACCACCGCTAACTGCTAAGCTCTAAACGACTAGCACATCTGACGAACTGTGAACAGCTGGATGAGAGAGTTTGTTCATAAAGTCAATTATGGTGTTTTATTTTGTAGGAGGCGGTGCGTCGTTTTCATAACGCCAAGGGAAATCGCAAGCGCTACAATCCCGAAGAAGGGTGAGATATTGTGTCGTGTAAGTTGTACAGGCTGTGTAATACATATATACTTAAATATCTCAATGTGATCGCTGACGTGTAAACATCTGGATTTCGCAGACTGAGCTCGCCTCACAATGAGGCAGTCACGTCTCATTTGGTCCAAGCTCTGGCTGAAAGTCCGGATTTGCACAACGTGGCTAGAGATGCCATTCTATGTAAGCACTGTTTGTGCTTTACTCTTTTACTGTAGCTTTGTCTGTTTCCAGGTTTGTGACATGCTCTCTTAATGGTTCCAGCTGCCTGTAAAACATACTATGAGACCATACGCAGGAATTTCCGCTACAGCCAGCCGGACCTTGCAGCCCAGGCTGAAGCAATGAAGACTGCAGCCCGCAGCCGTCAGAGAAGGAAAAGGGTAAAGTTATCTGATGTGATTTAAACTCACTGACAGTACTGCTGTACTGTTTTTCAGTCACATTAGTGCACAAACTGTCACCACACAGAGGTTGCACATCCACAACTGTATGTACTGCCTCTGCTTACAGCTGCTGGAAGCCAGGCAGGGAGTCCTCAGTGCAGATGAACTGGACTTCTGGAGGGGTGTAACAATTGATATGATGTCCGATGAGGAGGATGGTGCTGTTGAAGGGGTGGCTGGGTGGATTGTTAGGCCTCCTTCCTTTCGAAGCAAAGAACTCACGGATCTGTGTGCGACTCTTCAGGCTAGATTGGAAGCTAATCCAAAATACACATCTACACATCACAGACGTCTGCATATTGGACCGGATTCAGACAGAAATCCTCCAAACGCATACAATCCAGATGCAGCAAAGAAACATTTCAAAGAGCATCTTATCCCCCAGGTTGGGTGATGGTTTTATTAACTACTGCGTAGCACTCAAGCTTCCTTATAAGAATATAGATGAAAAAGATTATAATCCAGTTTGTGTCTTGGTGTGTTTTTTATAGAGAGCTATGAATCATCACAACTTTGAGAACGACTGCACTAGTTACAAAGCTGAAGAACTGTAAGTTTAAAAACAAAAGCATGAGACACATTCTTCTGTTTAAATACCTGCTGTATGTTTTATGATGTATTTGCTTTGTGTTTTGACAGACTGAGCTCGCCCGATGACACAGACTTGTCTCCTTTGGACGACGCTCTAGCTGAAAGTCCAGAACATCACCGCGTGGATAATGAGATCCTCCGTGTGACTGTGGCCTAATGAAATGAATTAAATCTCTGACTGATTGTCACCTCAAGTCATTCTCCACACTACCACTGACCTGTATACATTGGGGGGGGGGGGTTCTAAATGTATTTATACCAAACATTATATTTTATATTGTACACTTTATCTTTGGTCTCTTATAACTGTCTCAGACTACATAAAGTTACTGACTGGTGAGATTAGGCTGTTATAAAATCATACAATCTTGGCTTTTCCAGTCAAGAGTTTATCAAAGTTTTGATCAGTGGTTGCCAGTTTAGAGTTCTAGTCAGTGACTTAACCTTAACGATTTTGGGCCATCAAGGATACGTTGCTGACTAGAACAGCAGAGCTGAAATTAAAAGGAAATGCTCTTTTGAACTGGTCCTGAGCCTCTCTATCACAGTATGACATGAAGCTGATGTACAACAGTCCATTCTTTCCTTTTAGCGTCTCAATTTTTCCTCTCAGGAGATCATCAAGCCTCTGAGATACAGCAGTAGCTTTCTTTTTTTATCACACAATTATCCA